ACTCCTCAAGTCAAGGTCTTTCCAATGACATAATCTTTACATCAGATTTTACAAAAAATTATAGCACGTTTTGGTGACGTCATCAATTATGACGTCATGATCTGACATTTTATCACAACTTCTAAATTAAAATAAACTGGAGAACAAAGAAAGCTCATCTGCCAAACTTGGTTCAGAAATATATAAACCAAGCAAATATAGCCTTCATAAAACATTAGGGGAGTGGTTTAGCCCTTACGTGAATGAGGACACTTTGTAACGCTTATCATGAGGAATTTAAATCTCATTAGCGTTCAATCCTGGACATATCTGAAGCTTTAGCGAAACAGGAAAACGTTGCCATTTTGTTGACCACCTCAAGCCAGTGCACACTAATGGCTGATAGTGTGCGATAGCTCAGCCAATCAGATTACAGCATTTTGCATTAGTGCTGAGGTGATTAGTAGATTTCTACTAATAAATGATAGCCCCATGCTTAAAGAAATATATACTCACCATGTCAACTAATGAAATGTTCACAAACATTCCTCCAGCGAGTGGATAGATCCACCTGACTGCCGATGTTTTGGCGCCAAGTATCAAGCCAGTGATCAGCCCCAGATAACAAGCACATGCCGAGAGAAAGTTGAATGCCATTGCCATTTTGTACGACATGCCAGCATTGAGAAGAATGGCAAAATCACCTGGAAAACAATTGAAATTAAACAAATATACTTATCCAAAGAAACCTTGAAGTTTGATTGACGTAGAAAGCGTGAGAAAGGTAAGAAAGATATGATTGAAACCCCTATACCGAGACAACCACCAACAGGTTGATTTGTAAATAACAGTGAGAAAACTGCATCAAGTAATGATTCTTACCAAGTTCGTGTGGTAACTCTTCGGAGAATATCGCCATTGAGGTACTGATGCCAACATAAGTTGAACTGGAATATGACGCACCAATGGCTAAGCCGTTAATAAAGTTATGAAGGCCGTCACCAATGATTATCATCCAAGCAACAGGCGGCACTTTTCTCTTTCTGCCAGTGTTCACAATAACCTGTGCATACGATACAAGGAGCCGATAAAGATTCGATCTTGTTTGCTTTCTTATGCAGACACGTCTTGTAATGACTCTCAGCCTGGGAAAGAGATTATCCTAATCTCTTGGCCTGGGGTATGTTTTAAAAATTTGAATTAAGGTGGCTGACAATAGTTTCCAGCTCTTTCCATCACTTACACTTTGCTGGATCAATACTGACTACTATTTATCACATGATCCTACAATAATGGTATCACAGAACTGCCCAGTCATTGGTAAACAACTAGTGATCGTCCTTTTTCAATCAATCAATCAATCAATCAATCAATCAATCAATCTTTATTCATCGAGGGTAACACCTAATAGTTACACAACTAATAAACTTGTGGCCCTCTTAAATATACATTAATTTAAAATCTATCAAAAACCTATGGAAAATTATTAAATTATTTGATTAAAATTATTAAACAGGGTACCATAGTAACAATACAACCTGTTTAAAACATCCTTAATTTTAGCTTTAAGTGCTTATGACTCAAAAATGAGCTCGGTGATCCCCAAATTTAAGGTGGCTCTGCACCGCCCTCCACAGAATTAATTTAAACTTTGCAAAACGTTGCATCTCATCGTGCTTATTACAATTCGATAATAACATATGGAGTTCACTCAGCTCATTTTTGAGTTATAAGCACTTAAAGCTAAAATTAAGGATATTCTTAACAGCCTGTATTGTTGCCATGGTACTCTATTATGCTACAAAGATTACCAATGGTTGGGCGTTTATACGATACCAATATTGCAGCACCACTTGATAAAGAGTATTGATCCTTTAAAACATAGCTCTGGAAAAGGGCTGGAAACTGTTGCCAGCCACCTTAAACTCGCACCCCCCCGGCTTTCTTATAAAAATTAAGGTTTTCTACAAAACAGGAATGAACTGTTTATTACGTTGCACAAGAATTGTTTTACACTGTAAGCACCTCATAGCATTCATTTGAACTTCTTTTTTCCACTGACCCATTGAAGACATTCGGAATGTCGCTCATACTATGAAGAGATAAATGTTGATCGTGTTTCCCATTGTGAAGTTGGAGCTGCACTTCAGCGATTCCTGAGCCAAGTAATGCACTCTTGCCCTCGGTTTTCTCCTTAGAAAGAGAACAATTACTTCTTAAGCATATGCCACATGAGTACGGCAAGGCGCAAAGTTCGGTGATTATAATCTATCAACATTAGCATAATCTAATTGAAAACTATTGGCAAGCTCGTAATCTTATTGGTTACACAGCCACCGTTTAACAAAAAAGGCCAAAGTCCAAGAAAAGGAGTCGGGAAGCAGCTCTTCGAAGCTCTCCTAAGGTCCCACACAAATGGCTTGATACTCTGAGAGGAAGAGGAACAAGAGAAACATTGCCCCTAGCCTCAAGACAATAACAGCTGCTAAAAAACAAAAGAATTACATGCTTAGAAGAGCTGGTACACTTCCGAAGATAAGTGCACATGTGTAGTAACCTATATCATTATATCAGAAGCACTATGTTTTAACCAATGTGTAGTGCAACGAGCAGCAACCTTCAGTAAACTTAAGGAGCTGTCGCTACATTTCCATCCAATGAATTGTAAAATTAAAAAAGTGGGAAAATTTGGGGCGAAATTCCCGGCGACCTCGTTTCCCGAATGATCCATTACGGTGTCACGTGTTAGCCTGAGTATCAGGCTTTTCGAGGATAAGGTGGGAGCGGTAGGACAAAAGAAGGAACGTCTGGTGCTCGGGTTAGTCAGGTGTGTGCTGGATTTTGTATTCAGTTTGACTTTCTCCCCAATTTGTCGTTATAGTTCTGATTTTGGTTAAAAAAAAAACCTTCAATGGACAAGACTTGATTTTATAGAGGGGGGGGGGGGGGGGGGG